TATAGTACTATACTATATATAGTAGAATAAATAGCTAATCTATATACTATATTAAATAACTATACTAGTATTAAAAATAAGAATATACGCTATTATAAACTAAGTAATTATTAGTTTTTAAACTATATCTACTAACTACTATTAAGAATATATTTAGAGTAAGCGCTTCTTTACTAAAGACTCTAGATAAAACATAGTATATAGTTTATATTAATTTTACTTAAGATAATAAATCTTTCTAATATTATTATATACTCTTAATACTACTAAGTCTACTAGTATATAAGCTAATCTACGCTAGTCTAAATAAATACCTTTATACAGAGAATACTTTACCTTTTCTATATCTATAATAATAGCGCTAGAGTCTTACACTAAAGTACTCTAAGAGATATTTCTTTATATCTAAATTATTCTTCTTACTAGATATATATAGTATTTAGTTATTAGATAACTTTTAATATAATAATATTATATTAGAGAAGCTTTTTAATATTAAGACTATAGATAAAGTAGTTTTATACTTCTATATATAGTATCTAAGATAATTAATAAAAATAATATAACTTAACTCTATTAAGTCTATATAGATTATAAATTCTAGAAGTGTTAAAAGCTAAACTATAAGCTAAGAACTAAATAGAAAGCCTTATAAAGGTAGAAACTAAATAATCTATTATCTATCTAATCTATAGTTATATAGTATATATTATATAAAGTTTATTTTTACTTTTAGAAAGAATAGAATATTATAAGTTATTATAGCTTTAGTAAATCTAACTTCTAATAAATAGAGTTATAAGAGTTATATAAATAATAGAAAGAAAGCGTCTACTTTAATAGATAATATTATCTTTATAGTAGACCTTCTCTTATAGACTATAATAGTAGTAATACTAACTTAGCCTAGCTTTTAAACTAAGTTTTAGAATTTTCTATAATATTTTTAGATTTAGCTATTATTACTAGTAGTAATTAATTAATATAACTTTAGCGTATACGCGCACTTTAGTTTTATATATATAGAGTATATTATACTACTATAAGTATTAATTCTAGCTAATAATAATTAAGAAGTCTAAGAGTAGCTCTATCTAGGTTTAAATTACTAAGGCGCGCTATAGTAAGTTTTAGACTTATACTAGTAAAATAATATATATACCTTATTCTATATATATATTATAGCACTTTAATAATTAGCTATATTAGTAATATATTTACTAAGTAGCTATTTAGCGTAATTTATAACTATAAGCTAGAATAAGTAGTTATTTAGAATACGCTAAAAAGATTATATATTTATTACTTCTTTTACTTATTAGCACTTACTACTTTAAACTATAATCTACGCTATATATTCTACTTAAAGAAGCTAGTAGATAGTTAAAGAATATACTTAATTCTAGATTAATACTTAGTAAATATAAAAAAGAAGAGATAGCTTATATACGTAAAGATAATATAGATCTAGTAGTAGAATAATAGCTTTAGTATAAAGAATATAGTTCTACACTACTAGTTAATCTTTATAAATATATAAAATATATTATTCTTAGCGTAGAGTAAAGAGAGCTATAAGTGTAGAGTACTATTTCTAGTAGCTAGGTATTTATAGAATAAAGGTATTTACGCTAATATTAGTATAGATAGATTATTTTATAATATAGATAACGCGTAGTTTAATAAATAAACTAAGAATAAAATTAATTAAGCTTAAGATAAGATCTAAATACTTTATAGTAGAATATAAAAAGCTATAGCTCTAGAAGCTATAATAAATTAATAGAGTATTCTAGTATTATATATAATATTACTTTATATATAATAGAGTTAACTCTAATAGAAAAAAATATAATTCTAGATAGTACTTATATTTTAGTAAAAATAGTTATATAACTTCTATACACTATAGTACTATAAAAGTAATAAGTACTAACGCTACTATAAAACCTTAGCTCTAGAAGTAATAGAATATTAGACTACTATAGTAGTAATAAAGTTTAGTAGTAGTTTAATATAGTATAGTAGCTATAAAAGTAATAGAGCTAAATATAAAGTACGTAAAGACGTTATAGTGTATATATAGTAAGAAGTATAACTTTATATAAAGTATATAGTATAATTAAAAACTATACTATAGAATATAATAAGTAGATTATACTAGTATTAAAAATAAAGCTTACTACTCTAATTATTATAGAAGATAAAGAATAAAAGTTAGTATTAACTTATTTCTTTCTATAGTATAGCTACTATTAGTGCTACGCTACTAATTATACTTAATAAGATATAGTATATAGTTTATATTAATCTTACTTAGAATAATAAACCTCTAGTGTAATATAGAGTACTTTTAATACTATCTAGCCTATTAGTAGATAAGTACTCTTATCTAGCTAAATAGCTTTATAAGAAGAATACTTTACCTAATCTATAGGTATAATAATAATATAAAAATCTTACACTATAGTATCTTTCTAGTTATTACTATAAATCTAAGTTATTCTTTTTACTAGACGTGTACTTAGTATAATTATTACACTATTCTTAATATAAAGATATTACTATATATAAATTACTTAATATTAAGTCTATAGATAAAGTACTTTTATACTTCTTTACTTAGAGTCTAGCTTAGTTAATAAAGATAATATAACTTAATTTAGTTAAGTTAATATAGATTATAAATCTAAAGTATAGATAAACTATAATTATAAGAAGTAAAAGTAGTGTAAAGCTATATTAGTATATAAACTAAATAATTTATTATCTACTATAGCTATAGATAAGTAGCGTTTATTATATAAAGTTTATAGTTCTATTCTAAATAAATACTACTTTAAGACTAGTTATAACTTTAGTAAATATAACTATAGTAGAGTAAAGTTATAAAAGTACTAAGAATACTATAGATATAAGCACTACTTTAATAGATAATCTAGTCTTTATTATAAACTTTCTACTATAAACTATAATAATACTAGTCTTAACTTAGCTTACTTTCTAAATAGAGTTTATAGACTTCTTATAATACCTAGAACTATAGCTATTATTACTAGTAGTAATTAATTAGTATAACTTCTATATATACTTATATCTTAGTTTTATTTATATAAAGTATATTATAAAAGTAGTAAGATAGAATATAGCTAATAAAGTAAAGAAGTTCTTAGATAAAGCTTTTAGAGTTTAAGTTACTAAAACGCGCTATAGTATAGTTAGAATAAGTGCTAGTCTAGTAGTACACTAATATTACTCTATATATATATTACACTATATCTATAATTAGTTATATTAGTAATATATTTATAAAATATCTACTTAGAGTAGTATAAAACTATAAACTATATAAGATATTAGTAGAGAATATAGTTAAGAAGTTAACTATATATTACCTATTCTACTTAACAGCGCTAATAGCTCTAAATAGTAGTCTTTATAGTATATTCTATTTAAAAGTACTAATACTAAGCTACTAAATATATACTATTTTAGAGCGCTATCTAGTAGATATATATAAAGGTAAGTAGCTTTTATATACTAAGATAATATATATTAACTAGTAGAATATTTATAAAGAGAAGATAGATAAACTTTTATAGTATTAGTCTATCTTTATAGATTTATAAAATCTATTACTCTTAGTATAGAGTAAAGATAGTTATAAGTATAGTATTCTATTTCTAATTATAGATAATCTATAGAAAGATAGTATTATTAGTAATATAAGTATTAGTAGCAAAGCGTACTCTATATAAAACACGTAGACTAATATATAGAATTTAAAGTAGAGTATTATACTAGAGGTAGAAATATATATAGATATTTAATTAGCTTTTAACTTAATATTATAGCTTCTAGAGCTAGTATAATAAATATACTTATAGACGTAATATATATATAGTATATATAGTATTAACTCTAAAGTTAGAGCTAGTACTTAATTAGTAGTAGTAGTAGTAATAGCTTTATTATTACGTATAGACGTATATCTAATAACTAAGTCTAAAGTAAGGTATTCTAGAAATATAAAGTTAATATAATATAGTATAAAGATACTATATACTATAATTAATTATTAGATATATATCTCTATTATATAAAATATTACGTATAGATAAATCTACTTATATAGTAAACTTTTAATATTTTTTACTTAATTAGAGCTAGTTCTAATTAGATAGAGATTATAAGTTTAATCTATAATAATAACTATAAGCTAGAATAAGTAGTTATTTAGAATACGCTAAGAGAATTATATATTTATTACTTTTTTTACTTATTAGTACTTACTACTCTAAACTATAATTTATACTATATATTCTACTTAAAGAATCTAGTAGATAGTTAAAGAATATACTTAATTCTAAATTAATACTTAGTAGATATAAAAAAAAAAAAATAGCTTATATATATAAAAATAATATAGATTTAGTAGTATAATAATAGCTTTAGTATAAAGAATATAGTTTTATACTACTAGTTAATCTTTATAAGTATATAGAATATATTATTCTTAGTATAAAGTAAAGAGAGCTATAAGTATAGAGTACTATTTCTAGTAGCTAAGTATTTATAGAATAAAAGTATTTATACTAATATTAGTATAAGTAAATTATTTTATAATATAAATAACGTATAGTTTAATAGATAAACTAAAAAGAAAATTAATTAGACTTAAGATAAGATTTATATACTTTATAGTAAAATATAAAAAGCTATAGCTCTAGAAGCTATAATAAAGTAATAGAGTATTCTAGTATTATATATAATATTACGTTATACGTAATAGAGTTAACTCTAATAGAAGACTAGAATCTAATAATTATATATAATTATACTAGTTTAGATAGAGATAAGCTTTTAAAAGCTTTACTACTTAAGAGAGCTTTTTAAGTAAACTTGTAATAGAATAATTTATTTTCTATTTATTTCTATACTTCTAGACGCGATAGTAATATAATCCCCGCGAAGTTCTTCTCTACAAATACTATATCTATCTACAGCGAAATCCTCTCGATATCGTTCTTCGCAGCATGGCTCGTAGCGACGTACGGCAACTGCTCCTGCAACGCCTTGAAGTTCTTCTCCGCCTCCCAATTCCAGATGCTGTCGGACGCGAAGAGCAAATCAATCTCCTCGAGCGTGCGCTGGTTCGTCTCGGGGTACAGCGCCCAAACCATGGGGATGGTGATGGCGTTGCATGCGGCAAAGATGTAGAGCGTCTTCTCGCCGAGCGAGTCGAACATGATGGGGCAGAGGAGTGTGAGCCAGCCGTTGCCGATGGACCAGCCGACGACGCCCCAGGCATTGCCCTTTGCGCGCACTTCGAGAGGGAAGATCTCGGCGGGGTAGAGCCACGGGACTGTAAGCCATGTCGCGCCGAATATGGCCGTGAAGATGAAGACCATGGAGACGGCGGCGTTTCCGTATGAAGACGCTGCGCTCGTGTCGCCGCGCTTTGTCGCTTCTTGTCCGAGGTACGAGAACCCTCCGGCGAGGGCCATTGCGATGCCTTGTCCTGCCGAGCCCCAGTAGCAAGTCCAGCGGCGGCCGATGCGGTCGAGTGTGAAGACGCAGATGAGGGTCGCAAACATGTAGAAGATGTTGTTGAGACCTGAGATCCATTGTCGCTTCGCCGGACTCATGCCAGCGATGCCGAAGATCGTGGGCGCGTAGATTGTGACACCAGCGATACCAACCTGCGCTCTCATGTCAGTGATGTCCTTGTGTACACAATAGATCCTGAGCTTACCCATTCCTGCATGATCTGCAACCAAATCACGAGCTGAACGCGACGACCAGTGTGCAGCTTGCCAGACCCAATACCAAACAGCATGCGGAAGTAGTCTTGCTTGCGGAAGTTGGAGCGCTCCAACTCGCAAGAGGCGACAATCTCCTGGAACTCGACTTCCGCCCTCTCCTTGTCCTCTCCGGTGTCTCCTCGAAGTCGAGCCAGAACGTAGCGCCCCTCTGCCTCGCGGCCCACCTTCACGAGCCAACGCGGGGATTCCGGGAAGAACATGACGGCGGCCATGAGGATCATGAGCATAGGGATCTGGAAGGCGATGGGGAAGCGCCAGATGAAGGACGAAGTGCCGTCGCCGTAGAAGGAGCATGCGTACTCAAGCCAGTATGCGATGACGACACCGAGAATGTTGAGGGTAAACTCGATTGCGATGAACTGTCCGCGCGATGTGTGCTCCGCAGTCTCCGTGGCCCAGACAGGGATGATCGAGTTGAGGATACCGGTACCCCAGCCGTTGACGAGACGTGCGCAGATCATCCATTCGTGGTTCATGGCCGAGCATTGCAAGCAGGCGCCGACAGTTGCGACAGCAGCGCCGACGAAGATTGTCTTGATGCGCCCGTAGCGATCACCAATTGAGCCACCGACCAAGCATCCCACCAGTGTACCGAGGTAGTATACCGACACGATGCCGCCTTGGAGCAAAGTATTGTCCACGACTGGGCCGCCATCTGCGCCTTTGTGTCCGAAGCCCATCAGGGTATAGTAGTCGTATGCGGTGTTGACACCTCCCATCATTCCCTGATCGTAACCGAAGAACAGGATCGATAAGCCGGCGATGCAATTGATCCTGGTAGAAGAGTTAGCGAAGGCTCAATTGTGTTGTGATGGATACATACGCGATGAGCAATGCGCGCTTCTCATATCGATGAACGACATTCCACTTGGAGATCTGGTCCATGGTGGGCAATAGCTTCGCGCAACTTCAGACCCTTGGCTGGGTATACTATCGCCAACGTGTGCGGTTCGATGCTTCGCTGAGCGGGAAACCTTGTCGCGAACTTTGAAGCCCGTAGGCGGATCGGGCATACTTATAGCATGATGCCATGAGCATGGATGGGTTACATCGTGACTTTCGCGCGTGGTCGTCCAACCCTGCGGAGGCCGTTGATTCCCATGGGGCCCCAATTGTCGGCCCCTCTTTTCATGGTTGGGACGCGGAAGCCTCTCCAGTTGCGACCATGGATGTGTGGATCGTAAGCTCTCAATAGCTTGTTAGTCGCGGCCAAGTCGCGCGACAGTGGTCCGAATGCTTCGCGCATTACTAGAGGCGGTAAGCCGCCCTGGCACAGACGCCGGTGCACTTGCCTGAGCTTGCCTGAAGCTTGCCGGCACCAAGCCTAGCGCCCAGGCGGCTACCACTCTCAAAAGCCTTGCGAAGCCTTTGATGCCAGATTAGCGAAGACTTTGCGTGCGATGCGTGAATGCGATGCCCGTCGAGTTGTAGCGATTGAATGCGGCCATGAGACGCAACGAGTTGGTCGTGATAGTCGGCATCGTGGGTGGTGACGTAACATGAGTCAAGGTTTTCTGGGGAAGGACCTAACTTGACTTGGGCATGCACGATGCATCGGCCTGAACCCCGACCCGCTTCAATTGCCGACGGTTGAATGCGCGGTAATGCAAGGCTGTCCGATGACGATTGGCAAGATTTTCGTGAGAGCAGTCGGCGTTTCTCGAGATCGGGCGCTTCAGTTTCCCAGTTTGACGTTCGCAGTGCGCGACAGCGGTCGCTGCTCGTGCAGAGGCGCGGGCGAAGACGGAGGGTGTGGTGTGAAGCTTGACCGATGAGCGTCGATGGTCCATAAGCGGCACCGGACCCGATGCCGGGTTTACCAAGTTCACGTTCAAAAGAGGGACGCGGACTCTGCGACGCTCACCACTGATACACGTCAATGAGTATGGGGTGCGCAATAGGGGTATTACTCGCTGGCGACAGCAGCTCATGTCATGAGAATGGGGGACAGGCGGATCGGAGGGTGGTGTCGCTTCGGACTGTTATGGCGGGCTTTGGGCCGTACTTTCGCTCGCCTACTGGATTTTACTCTCCTATCACATGAGCATAGGTGTCTCGTAGGTATAAGGGGGAACAGGGCACTTTCAAGCCGCCGCGCCTCCGCTATGTTGTTTCTCACAATACCGCTTCAGATCCTCGCACCAGAGGGCGACCTTGCCCTTCAATGTGTCCTCCATCATCAGCTTGACAACCCTTGACAGCATGCCAGTCATAATCTCCCAGGTTCTGACCTCGCATTCGTTCTCGCCGGTGACAATGACCTCGTGGAAGCGCTCCAGCTTGGGCGCAAAGCCGTACATGCCGCCGTTGCCCGTCCAACTCACCCTGTATACCTTGCTGAGGTCGGCCGTAAACGAGGGGTCTTCGAGGAGCTCGGGCGTGAGATAGGACGTCGGCGCAGAGGGCGTGCTGATGTCGACGACCTTCAGCTGTGTCTTTGTGATGTCATTCGGCTTGTCCGCGTTCATGATGACATGGAACTCCATGGAGCAGCCGATGCTCATACGCTCTTGACTAGTCGAGTCGAGATCGTTCCCGGGGGATTGGATCTCCGCGACGGGTACCCACGTGTTCCATGCTTTGTAGTCTTTGGCGCGGAGAAGGGTGTCGAATACGAGCGACGCCGGCGCGTGCACTGCCGTCGAGTAGGCGATGGTGAGGACGGCGTCCTTTCGCGGGACGATCTTGGTGGTGAGCCCGTTCGCGGGCGGCCAGGCTGCAGTTTCAGACATGGCGTAGTGAGTCGTGTATGTGTATGCGCATCGTGATGGAACGAGGTGCAGATAATGTTTGCTTATGCTGACGACTGCGCCGCGTTGGCTTATCGAAGGACGCGCCTTATCGATAGGCTAGCCCCAGGGGTGAAGCCGAGGCCACCCTCTCTCATCACACCGCACACAGTACACATCGCAGTAACCCTAACCCTAACCAAACCGAAGAAATCGAACCAACCCAACCGTGGACATTTGATACACATCGCAGCATCTCACAATGTGGCACCCTTTCGACAACATATCCGAAGAGCTCGTCGATACCATCGTCAGCCTATGCTGCGGCCGACGCACACTAGCAAACTTATGCCGCGTGTCCAAGCAACTCAATCGCATCGCTACTCCTCATCTCTACGCGAAAATCACGTTAAACGCAGATATAGGCGGAGAGGGAGCTCTGAGACACCTCCGCCCACTTGCGCACCGCTTTTTCGCCGATCCATCGTTACTCAATTCGACGGAATCTTCCTCGTCTCCAACCGCTCCATTGCCAAAACCTGTCGATGTGTTCATCAGAGATTCCGATGCTGGCGACGTTGAATATTTGTCATCATTGTTCCACCTGCCGAATCTTCGCTCCATGTACGCATTCAAGTTTGGGGATGACGATGAAAATACCATTATGATGGAGAGAAATCCATTCGCCTTGCTGGGACTGCGACCCTGTGGCGTGCAATACATCGAGCTCAGAGCCTCCTCGCTGGCAACGCATACGTTGCGAGACTTGATCGAAGCGACTATACCGGGGAAACTCAAAGCCTTCCTGTACGAGAGGGGAGGTCCTTTCACGTCGCGCTCGGCGGAGCTTCCCTTTCTCATGCGTTGTCTGGAAGATCATCAACACCACCTGGAGACTCTCGCACTCAGTTACGAGGAGATCGAGGGCAGTACGGTATTTGAAGAACCATGGTGGAAGTTCTTGGATAGACGGACGCCCGCCATGTCATTCACTTCTTTCAAGTCTCTTCGCCGCCTCCGAGTAGCGCCCGAAATGATCTGGGGATACACCCACGACGAATGCACCGTTCAATTCGAGGAGGACATCATGCTGACCATAGACATGTTTTGGAAAGCCCTTCCAGCATCCTTGGAGGAGCTCTGGCTTACACGGTCGCAACACCATTGGATACCTGGCTTCATGTCCCATGATCTCGGCATCATCCCAAACATCCTTATACCTGCGCTCCACCGTCTTTCAGAGGAAAGCAGCAAAGCATGTCCCCATCTCCGGTCGATCAGCATTGAAATTCTACCCAATCATTGGGAAGTCCTGTGGCTAGATCTGCTAGCCGAGTTTTGTCACGACGCCGAAAGGAGAGATATTCACTGCACTGTCATCTTCATACACGCGCGTGAAGTCAAGTACGATTATAAAAGGAGTGGAACGGTCGAGCGTGGATGGGGCTGGAACGAAGATGTCGAATGGAGCGAGGTTTCTATGTACGCGAACAAGACATGGCGGAAACATGTCATTCATGCAGCGAAGGAGAATGACTTGAAAGGGAAAATGCGGACGCTTCAACACAGTATACGTGGCGACGAGTCGTCGTGATCCGAAGAGACCGACACCAACGACGACTTGTCTTTATCAGAACAGACCGACACCGGCGACGACTTATCTCCATCAGAACAGAGCATCACCAACGCTTCGGAATAACAAACTCCCAAAGGAAGAACAAAGCCGAGAAGTGAAACGACGTTCAATGGGGAGTTGATATCGCGTGGATCAAACATGTCGGTGGAGCCATCCGAAAGAGACGGTCTAAGTCTAAGGCGCGTTTGAGGTAGTGATTCCAAATAAGTAAGGAACATATGTACAAGCAGACGGTGATAACTATCAACAAGAAGGAAAACCATCGCGACGAGCACGACGTCTAGTGCGCAAACGAAACCTCAAACATCAGACTGTGTAGTTGCGCCAATAGCAGCACCGCTCTTCGGTACGAGAAAGTCGCTCTTCGGAACCCTTCCATCAGCACCTCTTGCCTTCTTCAACGCCGCAGGATCGACGCTCACGAAGCTAGCGTCCGACCAGCTGCCCGACTGCCACGAATTACCCGTCGCCTTGATACCCGACGCCGTGAGGCTAACTTGCGAGCTACCCACATTCGAGACAGCGATATTGTTCTTCATAGTGGAGCTCGAGCTGCGGAAGTTGAAGCCCACATCGCCATTCTTCCACGCGGTATTGCGCTCGACCGTCAAGCTACCAGGGTTCCCGTTATCAATAAACCCCTTCTTCGCGTTGGAGAACGCCATGCAGTTCCGCACAATGTGGTTGGCAGGCGGGTTATCCGTGATACCGAGCTTGAAGCCATTGCCGTCTCCCTCGAAAGAGCTGAAGCCCCACCGGTTGAAGCCGTTGCCCCACGCATATACCTCTTCCAGCGTGACGGACGAGCCGAACATGAAGAGGTCAAGGCCGTCGTCAACGTTCTCCCATAAGCGCGCGTTGCGCAGGACGTTGCCCTCGCCCGACCCTTCTTTGCACGCGAAGCCGTCGGCAGACTCGCCGTTCTTGCGCGGGTCGCGGTTGCGGTACGAGTCGAGGTACACGACGGTGTTGTTGGAGGAGGCGCCTTGGAGTTGGAAACCGGTTTCGTAGTTGTCGTGGGTGGTGAGGAGTTCGTAGTGGTTGTGCGACGCGTCGCGGGCGTATACGCCGTATGGGCCGTTGATGATCCTGGGCGGTGTGTTAGTATGCTAAACGGTCGGGGTGCGGAGATAGATAGGTGTACTCACTCTAAGTTGTAGAACTTCCAGTAGTTCGCTTTCTCGATGTGGAGAGCACCGCGCTCCTTGTTTGGTAGAGACTCGTCTAAGCCATAGGGGGTACCGGGCATGCCTTCACCGTCGATGATGACCTTCTCCTTCTCGAAGGAACGGAGTGTGATGGGCTGGATCCTGGTGCCGCTCTTGGTGATTTGGATGTTTGTCGTGGGCTTGTATGTACCAGCGCGTAGAAGGATCACATCGCCAGGCGCAGCAGCGTTGACGGCTGATTGGATTGAGCCAAAGGGTGCGGCAGAGGTACCCGTTCCTTGACCTGTTGGCGAGACATAAATGTCTTTGGCGTTTGCAGAAGCAGATAGCGCAGCGATAGCAGCCGCGAAA